GACAACAGTGCATAGTAAGCATGGCTCTTCAGCTTACATCCCTGAGGACATTCTTCCATCATCCCAAAATGTGGCTCATAATGTCTGTCCACCAGGAGCTGTGAGGATTCATGAGCTGGGACACAGTGCCTGGTGCCTTCAACATTAGCAAGGGGCAACTCACAGATATCACACCATTGTTATTGGTAAAGAATAGAAAAACTACGCTTGTGCAATTAAGACAAACAAAGACAGATACAAATACATTAATAATTTGAAAATAGTTCATGAATAAACCACAGCTTTCAAGGTACTGTGAGACACAGGGGTAATTTAAGATAGCCAAATGCCACCACTTTATAGCTCCCACGGAACTACATATTCCTAGGAACAGCCCTGAAATGGGCAAGATCATGTGAGGAGGCATTTAAACAAAAGGTTCCTGCAAAGTGGCTGCAGTGTGGCCCGTGACCGTGACTACTGACATTGATCCCACTGTCATGCAAGGCGTGTGAGCTGCACACTTCCTGTCTTCGGCAGCTCACCACATGCAGGACACTCTCTTTCTGATGAGTAGTGGAAAGCAGGAAGAGCTGGTGACTCTGGGAGGCGGGGCTAGAAGCAGGCCGAGACATCACCAACCCTTCCTTGGGAGGGGAGAAAGTGAGGTTTGACACTGAAACAAACCTTGTGTTCAAGGAGTCCTCAGATTCAGACCTTCTCCAGGAAGAGTGAAGCATAAACTTAGAAACAATAGAACCCTCTCCTTTCCATGTTTGCACTACTCATACCTGAGGTAGGGGTCAGGGTCTGAATTAAGCTCATTTTGTTGAGTAAATGAAGACATCAATGAAGGGTCAAAGGGTCAAAGGCAAGACTCCCCAATACAAAATGGCTGTTGGGGGTCTGAGAGGCATGAGGTATTTGCTGGCTTGGCATTCACTTGGTTTATTTACTAACTGTTGAAATGTAAGGACACATACCTTAATTTAGCTGTAAGCAACAGTGACATGAGTGGATTCTTATAAGACCCCTTAGTTGGTTTCAAATACTCCAAGTCTATCCAGCTGCTAATAATGACAAAGCCATGATTTCCTTTCAAAATACCTTTTCCTCACACCCTTGAAGCTGTTTCACTATTGGTTACTTCTGACCAACAGGCTTAATGGAGTTTTAAATGGTTAAATCTTAAGCTCAATATTCTAATAAGAGAATTACTGTTATTTTTAAAAAGATTTTATTTTTAAATTGTGTGTGTGTGTATGTATGCGCATGTAATTTCAGGAGCCTGCAGAGGCCAAAAGAGGGTGTCCAAGTCCCTGTGGCTGGAGTTATGGGGTTTATGAAAGAAGCATCTGGTATGGAAGCTGGGAATCATTCTGAGGTTTGCTGCAAGAATAGTACATGTTCTTAAACACTGAACCATCTCCCCAGTCCTGCATTATTTTAAAATCTCCTTTTGTCTACCATTGCACATTTCACATCAAGTTCATATTGAACAGCTTCTATAAACACTTCTGAGTCAAGTTTATGTAGATACACATCTATGACTGCTCCTCATGTAATTGAGAATTAAGTCTTGCAGTTGCTTCCTACCACTCTGCATGGAATTGGGGATTCCTACAGTCTTCTTGATCATTATGACCCTTTGGGTACAAAAGCATTCCTGCTCCAAACTCCTGATTTGACAACAGTTTGGCTTAAATTTAAGAGGATGCAACTATTGAGTACACAGCCCCTATTCAGATCACCCTATAAGACGACTACTCTGACAAATGAGGACATCTCACACTCTCTCCCAAAGAGGACATGCACTAAAGGACTCTACAGTGCTCACTGTGCTCTCAGTGTCATAGAACACAGGCACGTAGGCCAATATAGCACCACAAGCTGGAGAGCTGGAAACATGGTGACTAAGAAAGAAAACGCCAGATGTGGCAGAGCAGGTCTGTAGTCACAGCACTGGAGAGGCAGAGGGGTGGATCACACCCCCAGACCTAGGAAGACCAAAACAATCACGAAACTTAACAACTCAGAAGTATGCCGGAAACATAAGTCTTGCTTTCCAAGGACATGAGATTGGGACTTCAAAGACAAAGACCTAACTCTCTTTATGATCATAAAGACAAGTGTGTTCTAGCAGAGGTGTCTAGCCTTCTCAAATGTGACATTGTCATTCACAAAGTTCACACCTGAGAACTGCACAATTGAAACACTAAATACATAAAAGCAAAAAAAAAAAAAAGAAAGAAAGAAAAACAAAACAAAACACCACCACCACCACCACCAAAACAAAACAAAACCAAAAATCTCAATGTTTTGTAATGTTGAACAAGCTGGTGACTTTGTTTCGGGCCACATGCGTGGAGTTCTTCACTGTAGGTAGGCTATGAGTTGGACCGGCATGCTAGTAGGCTGACAAAGTTCCTCAGTAAGCCCTGTCCCTGTGGTTGTAATGACTGACCCTTTCCAGCTCAACAGCCATGATTAAGAGGCAGAAGGCTGTTCAAGATGTCCAGAACACTCCCACTAAACAACCAGCATACCAGGAATCCACTGCACATCCAGTAAGTCTTAGAATCTAAATAGGTAATGAATTCTAGTAGCAAACAAGTAGGCGTGTGCATTTCCCAGATTCCTCCTTACAAATTAGGAATTCATTCCCCCAAGTACTGGGAATATTGGTTGTGGGCTGTTGAAACACAACTGATCTCTCCCTGGGAACTGCTCTAGAGAATTCCCTCCCACTAAAGGAGCTGCCTTTCCCAAGAGCACTCCAAGTTCAAGGGTTCCAGACCAAAGCCCAAGGCTCCCCACCTGGATATGAGACAACTCCAGAGGTTCTCCCAGCCCCAGAGCCCACACAGCGTCAGCCTCTCCTTTGCCCAACCTTGCTTTGTTTATTCTCTGGAAGAGTAGACAGACAGCATTCTCTTGAATGATTTGAATGATCTCCCAAGATCACAAAACAAGGAAGCAGAGGAACGGGTGTTCTCACCGAACACACGTGACTGGTTAGCCCTAGTTTCTATCAATTTCATTAAGCCCTTGACCTTGTCACAGGTGGTCCCTCCTTATCTGTTCATCTTTGCTAGCCTCTGTCATCATCACTCATTCTCATCCTATCAACCCAGGCCAGCCCCACAGAGTACCGTATTTTCCAAACACATGTCCCTGCAGGCCACTGAAAATCTCCATGTCTTGGCTTGCCTCATGCAAGTGTTCCCCTTCATTTCCAGGGCTGCTTTTTTGAAGCTCTTCTGGTCCCTTAGGTAAGTGAGGTCCCCATCCTTCAGGCCCCTACAGTGAGCTCTGCATATCTTTAGCTTGGGAATGCTTAATTATTCTAATGAGTTCCTTGCAAGCAGGAGCATGTCTTTTAACTCAGCATTGCCAGCCACACAGCTTACAGATGTTTTGTTCAATGGATGAGTAAATGAGGAGCTGCTCATGTAGGTCCTGGCGGAATCCTTGCCAAAGCCCCCATGCCAGGACAGTGTCTTTTAGAAGCATCCAAATGTGGATTCATTGCAACCTTCCTTCGACCAGTCTCTCTCCATCGTGGCAGCCTGACACACAACATCTGGACGCCACTGCAGATGCTCACGATCCCACAAAACTGTATGAGGTCTCCACAGACTCACGGAGGGGCAGGAAGGGTCCATCACTTTCCTAGCTCAGTGGAAACTAATACATATTTTTAAGCTCTCCTACTTAATATGTGAAGATATTTCTCTACCTAATCTTAGCTTCGACACAGAAAGTCCTTTGTTGGAAACACTTCCTTTTTTCCCTATTTGACACAGCACACAATGACTTACATCTTGCTAAATTTCCATTTCTAGGTCAGAAATGAAACCTAATGTGGCTCCTACATCAAGCACAGACTGCCTGCATGACGCCGTACCCTTATTGTAAGAGGCCCCTTGGAAACACAAATGAACAAGGTGCACCTCCTTCTCTGAAGCTAAAACATTAGGTCTGGATATAAATCTAGGCACGGAACACGATTAATGCCGAGCTGAGAAGGTCTGCAGAGACTCCCGCTCTCCACATAGAAACTGACAGCTGGGCAAGGGGCTGTGTATGTTCTTTGCACAGGAAATGCTCCAATTTTGTTATTGTTCTCAACAAAAATGTCCAAATAACAAAAATATTTGCTGACTACTGACTGAAGCTAATGATGACACGAAGGCTTCAACACCCCCCACCCCCACCCCACCCTGTTTCTTTGTTTTCTATAAATGGAGTCAGGAAGGAGGAAGCTTTTCCAGCACATTAGAAACTGAATTTTCTGGACCCTGTAGAATTTTTCCCCACTTTACTCTCATAGAGGTGGGAATAAGAAGATTGTGGTAACATTTTCCTGGGAGGACAGCACATGCTTTACAAGTCTGGTCATGTGTGACCCGGAAAAGCAGAACCGGAGGCCTTGTTCTGTAAGTGTGGCTCTTCCCTAGGTGTGGAGGTCAGTTCTAAGAACAAATATAAAACTTGTGGCTACTTGAAAAAAAAGGAATAAGATTTTCATTATTTTAACTGAGAGAGAGAGAATAAGTGAGTGTGTGTGTGTGTGTGTGTGTGTGTGTGTGTGTGCATCTGCATATGAATGCATGTGCCCAGGGAGGGCAGAGGCATCAGATCTCCCTAGATCTGGAGTTGTGAACCAAGCTCACATCCTCTGCAAGACTAGTGTGAACTCTTGACTGCTGAGCCATATCTCTCCATCCTGCTTCAGGTACCCATACTTTTGATCATGATTCTGAGGTCAAATATTCTTTTATTGAATATAAATAAGTACATCCAGTAGATAATACTGAATGCATTATGCATATGCACACTCACATGCATACATATGTCATACACACGCACCACACACATACGGAATGAACACATACGCTAGGTTTAACAGTCTGTGTCTTTAGAGTACTCACTGCTCTTCGTTGTCAGGCACCTTCTCAGTGATTTTAAGAAAGGTGGCTAGCAGTAAGCACAGGATGGCAGGGAGATATGGAGTGTACCTTTTTAAACATCCGAGTGGAATCCTCGCTGATCTGCATGAACCGCATAATGACATTGTTCAGATAGATGTCGCTCAGGGTGGCGTGGTCTTTGCTCTCCCTCCTCACTTGGTTCAGGAGTAAGTACCAGCAGTTCACTGGAGACAACAGGTTCTGGTCCTTCCTGAGGGGAAAGGGGGACAGAGGACAGAATTACCGTCATTTCAAAGCAGCCTGGCTCAGCCAAAAGAGGTCACCCATGCAGGTGGAAGGGCCACGCAGACAGGTGCTGCCACTGTTCTTTCTGCTCCGAGCAGTTCCTAGATCGGGACAGGCCGCAGCCTGCAGGAACCCTGCAACCTACTAGGCTTGGAAAGAAACCTTAGATCAAAACCCCCCAGTCCAACCTCCAGACCCTGATCAGGGCCCTGGGAGCCCGACCTAGACAGTGCTTCGGCAGCCCTCAGGGTTAGCACCCCACTAAGGGAAGCACTCCTGTTACATGAGAGTCTATTGGCTACTGTCTCACACACAGACTGGTCTGCCCCGGCTCACAATGCCTCCTTTGAGTGAGCGTCCTAGTGCTGGAATAGAGATTTGGCTAGGCATGCTTTCCCCGGAGCACAGTTATTTATTAATCCCTGGATGTATAGCCTCCAGTCTGCAAAAAGCATTCCCGGGGAATGTGAGCTTTATTGCATTGTCTCAAGGCTCATGAACGGAACCTGGATGCTTGGGGGCTCACGACATGTCACGTGTCCTGCTGAAATCTACAGAACCAGCTCAGATTCATAAATGCTTACTTTAGATGAAACTAAATGAACTGCAAAGCACATAAAACTAGACACATTCAAAGAAAACCTCCATCCCAACACAGTGAACAACCAAAATGCCACTGCTTTAAAAAAATGAGATGCCCTCCCTCCTTGACACCTGTGGTGGGTGAGGGAGTTGACCTGCCCCCATACCCGCTGCAGCGCTTGGGAAAGTTGGCACTGTACCTCGCCTGGCAGCCCAGCAGAGCTGACCTTATTGACGGGGTACAGGTGACCAGCCCCAAGAACATGACTGTGGGTGATACGGCCCTGCCCCTCATCTGCCATATGGTGGTGGGGTTGGGAGAGATGCTCCCCCACCTGTGGCAGGTGGGAAAACTGGCCCTGAGGTCCTTAAGAGTGGGAGGGTTGTCCCTGTCCCTCATAAGCTGTAGCACTCAGAGTGGCCTCTGTGCTTCACCTGGGCAACATAGCACATCTGGCTCTGATGGTCCAGATGTGGCAGAGTCAGCCTGAGGGCCTGGCAGCAGAACTGCCTCCATCCCTGGCTCATTGCAGAGAGAGGTGAACTAGGGAGGGCAATGCAGGAGAACTCACCATGGTAAGGAGGCGGGAGAGCGGGTGGACTGACCAACCCTGCCACTACCCAGGCCTGGAACCAGGGTATGAGTCAGCCCACTCCAACGTCCACCCCATCTGTGCTCTGCTGGAGCACATGAAGGGCCCAGCCTTGCAGACTCAACGCTGCAGGATCTCCACAACACAGGGCAACAATAGGAAAGCCAAGAGGAGTCCCAGTGAGGGCCCAGCATTGACAGTGTAGCAGAAGCCAGAGGCCTCAAACCAGACCAACGACTCTTTGCAATGAACACTTGCAAGTGAAGACATATGGACAAAATGGTATACTGTGTGACTCACTGTGCCACACTACAGCTTCCATGACAAGATTTTTCCTTTTCCCCCTTCTCTTTTCTTCCTCTTAAATTTTATTTTATTTATTTTCAGGGGGAGGGGGTGTTGCAATGGCAGAGGGTGGATAAGAAGGCATGGGGTAAATGAATTGGGATCGAGATGCATGGTGTCAAAGACTATAAATGCAAAGAAGTTTAAAAAATTAGAAGTACAATTTGTTTTTGATCACAAAAACTAACCATGAAATGGCCAAATGGCAGTGTTTCTCCTAACCCAGGCCCAAAAGTGCCATGTCGTCAGATGTGGGTCTTATTAGTTTTTCTTTTTAAAGTTGTGTATGTACGTGAAAGGGAAGGAATGGGGGTGGTGGAGGAGGACGGCACACGAGGCTAGGCACAGATGTAGAGGTCCAAGCCAACCGCCGATGTGACCTCGCCTTCCAAAGTGTGCGCCTGGCTACCGGCCTTTGAACTTTTTAGGATTCTCTCATCTTCTCACGAGAGTGAAGGGATGACAGACACATGCGTGCTGATTTGTCTGTCTTCTATACATGTTCTGGGATCAGAATACAGGCTTTTAGGCTTGCACGATAGGCACTCTCCTCACTGAGCCATCTTTCCAGCAAGACATAATATTGTATCATTCATCAACATCTATGACTGAACATGAAGCTGGGGAAAGGAAGAAAGTCACGTCTTTCTACCACTAGGTTTCTCAGATCCCACATTTAAAATTGCATTGAATCCAGGAACCTGAGGCAGGAGGATCAAGAGTTTAAGGCTGGGCTGGGTACAAAACAATGCCTTAGAATGAGATCCTGTCTTAGAAACAAAGAAAATATCCACAGCTCCCAAAACACCTAAATTGAGTTACAATCTCTGTCTAAAAGACAAAGAAAACAGTAACAGAAGCAGACATGGGCCCAGGAAGAAATCTCCATGCACACTGGGATTCTAGCTCTGGCCTGTGATGTTTCTCTTAGAACCACCCAGAAGGAATGGCGAGCCCATGGCAGGTGAGTGTGGCCTTTCTCTTGACATCCTCTGTCTAGTCAGCCCCAGAGGCAAGTGCCACTTTGCTCATTTGAAGTATGCGCATCCTTTATCCTGAAGTAGCTAATAAATTCCTTGAGACTATTTCATACATCTTTGTATCCTCCGTGCGCACCCAGATGGAAACATTACGAAATAGAATTTTATTGATCGAATAAGCAAACACATTATTATGATTGCCTTATTATTAGTGTCAATCACAGTATTGGTAATAATATAATAATAGTAGCTATCATTTACTGACTGAGAAATAGTAGGCAGGTTGAGACTGGGGGCCTTCAAGCTAGGTTTGGGGAGGTACAGGCAGGCAACCCTGGCAACTTGGAAGGCTGAGGCAGAAGGATGACAAATTTGAGGCCAGCCTAGACAACTTAGGGAGACCCTGACTCAAATTTGCATAAATGTTAATGAAAGATTGTGGGTTCTCACTCAAGGCTCTAACCTCTGCTCCCACGCCCTATCAGAGTGCTGTGGGTTAACCTCTCTGTACTTCAGTTACTTTGTACAATGAAAATGAATTGGTCTGTTTAAATGCTAGCACCCATCACGACTCGGGCACACAGTACGTGTTGCATATAGAACGTTAGCTATTTTGTCTAAGAGGCTGTTCTGATTGAGATCTGACATTAACTCCTTACAACAGTCACTCGCTGTGCCCTGACTGCCAACAAGAGAACTAAAGCTTACCAAGGATTTGATAAGGGCCAAAGGGAAGCCAGCGTTGAGTCTTTGTGTGGGGGGTTGATGGGCCCTGGCTCTTGGCATCTGCAGTAGCAACTTGAGCCTAAGGACCCCCAAAAAGCCAGGCTCCAAAGTCTAGCTTCAATGGGTGTGAACATGACTGTGCTAAAGACTTATTTGTCTGGAAAAAAAAAAAGACAAGGAATTCTGCACACACGTGCCCAAGCCAGCCACCAGTCACAGCAAGGACTTTGCCCTGTCTGTCAACGCCACTTATGGTCATGAGCTCTCGCACCTCCTGTTAGAGAAAGCAAAGCTCAGAGAAGATATGTAGAGACACAGTCACCTAGTAGTTGTCATTCAAGACCCAGGTCTGGCTGATTGTTAGTAGAGCAGCGTTCTAAGCTTTGGATCCGTTTCCTCTCCAGCTCTACATTCCATAAAAAGAAACTCTCAAGCCAAAGGCAGTTTGAAGCTGCATGCATAGATATTAATTCCATCTATCTATTTGGTGGTGCACAACATTCCGGTGAGCGGCAGGGGACAACTTTCTCTCGTTTATTCTCTTTCCACCGTGTCAGTGGTGGCAACTGAACTCGGGTCTCTGCCTGCCGTAAGCCGTCTTGCTAAACTGGCTACCCTTCTTTTAATCACAGTTCACTTCAAGATCACGGAGAAGAAAGAGGCTGGGTTCTCAGCAGCACCCCAGACCCAAAGGAGTGGGCCGGGTGGTCTCTTTGCTGCCCTTGTTTAGGAGGGTAGCCAGTCTTTCTCTGTCACTGGGGTGGGTTACCCTCTGGGACTGGAGGACAATGAGGCGAGGTTGACAGTGGAAACCCTCTATTCCAAATCTTCATCTTGTGTAGACCTCGTCACCAGCAGCTCTTCTGCAGAGTTAAGGGCTGGGTACCTTTGCACAATAACGTAGACCTTCCTTTCCCTCTCCTTTTCTTCCTTCTGTCTTTCCTTCCCTTCCCTTCCCAACCATGGAAACATCCCTTGACTTCCTATGACTCCAGGTGTACACTTATAAGTGCATCAATTATATTCTAACCATCACTTCAGGGAGTTTTACGGCAAAGGTGTTTTTCAGATTTCCTGGCCCACTGTACTTTCTGAAACAAAAGCCATGATACTTTTTTAATATCTCCCCAACTGGGCATTCCCTTCTCCCTCTAGGTGGCTATATTATAAGGCCACACACCATGAGAGACCCTTGGTGTTCTTCCTTCTCTGATATCCTCCTGCAGCCCACAACCTTACCTGTCACTGAAATGCAAGTGTGGGCAGTTCAACTTAAAACACTGTAAAGATTCCTATGTCTGCAGGACACAGCCCATACAGATGTGTAAGAATCTGTGCTGTGCCCCAGTTAATGCCTGTGACCACCCTGTCGTCCAATTACGGCATACTCCCAAAGGACTACTATTTTGCAGACCTGGCCTAGAGCCCTTTCCTTCTGGTCTTTTGCCTACAAGGTTCCCTCCTTCAGTCCCCCTTTCTGGTCAGCTAGTCATTAAGTGTCCACTCACGTATCACTCTCCTTGTTGCCAGGGAGATGGCTCCGGTGGTAGTGTTTGCCTTGTAAGCTTTAGGATGAGAATTTGAGCCACAGACCCCAGCCCCAACACCGAGGAGGCAGAGACAGGCAGGTGAACGGTGTGTTAACACCCAGGAAATGATACCCTAGGGTGTTCTCTGGCCTCTATAACAGGTACACACTGTGCACCGCTACACACGCATGCATTGCCATACATGCATTTGAGAGCACGCGCCTCTCTCTCTGTCTGTCTGTCTGTCTGTCTGTCTGTCTGTCTCTCCCCCCCCCTCTCTCTCACACACACACACACACTCTGACCACTCTTCCAGGACCTTCTTTCTTGACTTCCATTACAGAACATGCTTCAGCCCTGTCTGTCAACAGAACCCTGTGCTTGCCCTGTTGGTACACTTACGTTACGATTACCAGCCTGTCTCTCTGACCCTGGGATTTAAATTATAAAGTGAATTTCATGACCAGAATAACCTGTGTGTTCTTTTGAATTACTACAAACATGTTAAGTGGAGGTGGGGCATGCTCCCCATGGACACTAAACCCAAGCAAAAGTTACTGCTAATGCTCATATAAAAATTGCTAGAGTGGTACAGGTTATAATCCTGGCACTTGGCAGGCAGACTGTCGTCATAGGTTCTAGGCTAGCCTGGGCTATGAGACCTGGTCTCAAAAAAATGGAAAGAAAAACAAACAACTCACTACAGAAATCTTGAGGCCTTTGCTGACAGCAGCTCTTTAAACCCACCCTTTCAAATGTCTACCTATGGCTAATAGCAGCTTCTCGGTAGCTGGGAGTTTTATAAACACTGATGTAAAATATAAAGTTACGTCTATGCAGTTTAAGTGGGGAGGGAGGAAGGTTGCTAGATTTATGGGGACATGTCCACCAAAAGCTTCAAAGGAAATGTCCAGCACTGTGGAGGTTTGGAGAAAAGGTGGGGTGCCCAATCGCCTTGGAAAAGAGACTCTGAATCAAGTCTCTCTCTCTCTTCCTGCCCCCCTCCATGCTTCCTTCCCTCCCCCTTCTCTCCTCCCCCACTCCCAGGTATTGAACTTATGGTTCAAGTATTCGCTCCTCCCTTTCTTGTCTCTCTCCCCCCTCCTATCCCAGGTATTGAATCTGTGACCTCATGCATGCCAGGCAATCGCTCAGTCCCCAGAGCTATGGCCATAGCTGAAACCAGCTTCTTACTTGAACTGCTGGTGATCCTTAGTGCTTCTTGTTTTGGCCATGAACCTTTCCGCCAACTTCTCCAGGTTCCGGGAATATTCTGTCTCAATTTCAGCTTTTTTCCGGAAGAAATCTTGCAGGTCCTGGAGTAGCTGGACTCGCATCTCTGTCTGCTGCTCGAGGCATTTTTGTTGCTCAACCAGTTGAGCTCGGATTTCTAAGGAAAAGATAAGAATGCACTTGATGACATCATGAAAACGACCAAGGCCAGCTGACAGGCAAGGCATGAAGAGTGACTCCTAGCTTACGGCCTCTGCCAGAGTCCTTGTATATTACATATGTTCATTCATTATAATTATGTGTATGAAAGGAATATGGGAACATACTTAAGCCACAGCAGATGCGGGGACCAGAAGACAATCTGTGGGAGTTGGTTCCATCCCTCTACCATGTGTACGTCCAGAGCTTAAACTCAGATCATCAGTTCAGTGGCAAGCACCTTTACTCAGTGACCCATCTCACTGGCCCTTGGTTGTTTAATTTCAAAAACATCTGTTGGCCTTTTTTTTTTAATGAAACGAGATCCAGGGGAAATGTAGCAAATTTGAATAGAAATATGTCTCACACTTGTAATACCACAAACACGCATTGAGTCACGAGGGGAATTACAACTTTTCAGGTAATTCCAAAGGTTGGGGTGCTGGGATGCTACTGACATCTGAGTGTACCATAAACTTTTCAGTGGCCTTTTACCTTAACTATCCCTTTTGAGCTTGAGTAGAAAAGAAATGGGTGTCATCTTCCAGACATTGGAGCTGACACATTTGTCAGCTGGTACATACAGAGACTGACATCTGGCAATTCTTATTTAGCATTCATTCCTCATTTGTAAAACACTTAACTTCAGGGTTTATAGGAATGCCGGACCTAAAATTAACTTCTTTCTATCTTCAAATAATCCATTCACAAAGGCAACCCTCGGACTCCAACTTATCATATAACACCAAAGCTATTATCCCAGCATTCACCTTGTACACACTATTGAAACCAATGCCTTTACTGACACCCAATCGTTTTGCCATTTTACTATGTTAGGAACTCAAGGGATGTGCATCTATGGATTCAGGAAAAGCACAAAGCAAACACTATGGATGCAAAATGAGTTATAAGCTGTCACTGCGGAGAAATCAGTGCTCTGGCAAACAGGTCATACCAAGCACACACTGCGGACCGACTTTGGTTCTAAGATCTGTGGCTAACTTCCAAAGACAAGAATAGTATTCCTGGAGGAGGACATCTGCATCTCTCCATCCCCAGTGTCCACACCTTTGCCCTAAAAGAGGGTAGTAACTAATTCAGCGGAGACAGAGGAATCCTATCCCAAGAGCACATTCTTCATTTCTTTGTAGGATCCCTTCTAGATAGAGCTGATGGCAGATACTCAGGAATTCACAGGGATTTGATCCTGCTAGTTAAACTCATCAGTAGGCTGGTGGTTACAGTGTGGGTGCAGAGAAGGCAAGTCAGGAAATTTGCTGACTTTACTAATGCTGAATTACCACTATTTTTGTTAGTATCACCTTCCCAGTTGGTAAGTGGGACTTCCCCGGAGCCCCGTCTCTGCTCTGTGAGTCTGATGCATGGAGTATGTCCTGCCATCTTACCACCCATCTATTAGTTCTGAGCAATTGTCCTATTTCCCCAGCGATACCTTGGCAGAGGGGCTCAGTGCTCTGCCCTGGGGTCTGCTATGGTCCAGGCTGTGTTGGGCGGGGGTGGGGGGGAGTGGGTGACTCGGCAAAGGTAGGGAGTCACACTCATGCTCGCTCTGTGTTAAGGGATGGTCCTCCTAGCCTCTCAGGAGTGTGGTGGTTGCTGGAGAGAACACGTCACCAACAGGCTTTTAACCACAAGGGAGGACATCTGCTTCACAGTCAAAGAAAGCGGTTTCCAATACAGTGTTACAACCAGCATGGCTGCCAAAAGTTTTCTCCTAAAAATACGGAGCTATTTTTGTTTCATGAAGAGGAGGAAGAAAAAAAAAATCAAGGACGGGGGTATTTTTCATTCAGGAATTCCAGTAAATCTTCTGAGATGAAGTGATTTTTAGCAAATCCCGCTGTGCTAAGAGAAAATGAATCCATCATCTGAGGTCCTCCCCACCAGCCGCTTCCTCTCACCTTGGTATCCAATAGGAAATAAGAGTGGCTCTGCTACAAATCTTATCAAAGCTACTCATCGATTGCATGGGCTTTCTTCAACTGGGTATAAATAATTAAAACTCCTAGAAAACCCGTGGGCCTTTCGTTCCGCATCAAGGACTGCAAGTCCTTCCCTAACCCCAGATTCCTGGGCAGTCCATTAGAGCCCCTCCCAGCAGCTCTCCCGGGCCAGTCTTGATGGGGCTTTTTACTTTCAGACTCAAGGTTCATTTTAATTTAGCTGAGCACATCACTACTGAGCCTGCATCTTATGTTAGGCAGAGTCCCAGGCTCTGGGGACACAGTTTTGCTGTGACAATCTTTTCATATACTATGCGCTCATTGGTTAATAAAGACTGATTGGCCAATAGCCAGGCACAAAGCACAGGAGGGGTGATCAAACTGAGGATAGAAGGGAGAAAGAAGGGCAGAGTCAGAGAGCCGAGAGTAGACGTGGAAAAACAAGATGAACGCGCCATGCTAATAAAGTACCGCCATGTGGCAGAGTGTAAATAAGGAATATGGGTTAATTTAAAATGTAGGAGCTAGTTAGTAATAAGCCTGAGCTATTGGCTGAGCCTTTACAATTAATATAAGGTTCTGCATGGTAATTTGAAAGCAGCTTCCCAGACTGGAAAACTCCGCCTAAACAGCTTTGTGCTCAGCTTCTTCTGGAATGACACACAAACCTTAGACTACTGACATCAGTTCATAACAAAGAGAAGATTTGGAAGGAGGAGTATGAACTACAAGAGTAGGAAGACAACGATGTCCCAAATATCAAAGGAGATGACAAGACACACAGCACAAAGTAAACAGCGACAGGATTTGTAAATAGCTTACACAAAAGAACCCTTCTTACTCAATAAAACAAAAAAAATACAACAGCTGGGCGGTGGTGGCGCACGCCTTTAATCCCAGCACTCAGGAGGCAGACGGATCCCTGTGAGTTCGAGACCAAGCCTGGTCTACCGAGTGAGTTCCAGGACAGGCTCCAAAACAATACAGAGAAACCATGTCTTGTAAAAAAAAAAAAAAAAGAACATGGGCGAAGGATCTTAGTTGATGTTCTACACAAGATGATGAGGAAGTGGGTCAACGGACTATTAAAAGTTGCTGAATATCATCAGCTACCAGGAGACGAAAATCAAAAGCAGAATGGACACACTGACACCCATGGACGGAACTCTAACAATGACAGCAATACAAGTTGGAGAAGAGACATGGAAACTAGAACCTTTATACACTGCTGCCAGCAATCTTAAAATTTTCCGTCACACTGGAGAACATCCTGGCACTTTCTTGAAATGTTAAATAGAGTCAGCATGTCCCCTTCTGGACACACGCAATTATAAATGAAAATACATTTCTGTACCAAACCATGTACATGAGTGTGAATGGCAGTATCATTAGTAAAGGTGAAACGTGAAGATAAACCAAAAGTCTGTCAATCCCTGCACTGATAAAGCGTTGGCACGGCTCTACAACAGAATATTGTCTGACAATTAAAATGAATGGGGAGCTGGCTCATGTTATGGTGAACCTTCGAAACATAAACTTACATCTGCTCCGCTGGCAGAGGGCTTGTCTATCCTTTAGATGACCTGGATCTGGCTTCTAGAACTACACACAATGAGAGTTGTGTCACACACACATTATCCCCGCCCTTGGGAAGCAGCGGCAGGGGGACCAGGAGGTCAAGATCATCCTCAGCCACATGGCAAGTTTGAAGCCAGTCTGGATTACTGGAGGCCCATAATTTGAAAGCTTACTGTCCAAGCTACTCTCACGGGACCATACAATCTGTAGTTCCGTTCATGTCTAAGTGTGCAGGACAGACTCATTCACAGAGGCGGAAGGTGGGTGAGTTTTGCTTGGGTCTGGGAGAGTGGGAGGGTCTCAGGAAGTGGCTGCTGTTGAGGTAAGGACTTCTTTTGGGGGATGATGAAAAGGATCCAGCAGAGGGCTTGATTCATCAGATAGTTGTGAAATTCTGAATGGACTAAAACCTCCAAGTTAGTAAACAGCATACGCAACTTATATCTCAAAACCAGCTGTGGCATTTTTAAGAGACAGACGCATCACAGTCCTGAGAATTTCAGTTGATATGAATGCTTTACCTAACCAGGCTTCTGGAAGGATTTATTACCAGGACTCCCAAACACTACTGCAAAACACAGCAGAAAAACGTAAAAAGGTGGTGTCTCTGCACAGGTTCTGCTGGCCACCATTTAAAAGTCTAGGCCAGGACATGTTAAATAATCATAATGGATGCTTTTAGTACAGTCTTACCTCTTGTTATTTTAAAGATTTATTTTTAATTATGTTCCCTCCGCTCCCTCCCCATCTGTGTGTGTGTACACGCTCGTGTGTGTGTGTGTGTGTGTGTGTGTGTGTGTGTGTGTGCAGGTATGTGCATGTGGGTGCAGGTACAAGTGGAAGCCAGAGGCGCTGTACCGCCTTGGAGCTAGAGTTACAGGTAAACCACCCAAAGTAGATACTGAGAAATGAACTCAGGTCCTCTGAAGAGCAGTATGTGCTCTTAATCACCAAGCTGTCTCTCTAGCCCCTCCAGGTTTTGGCTGCTCTTTTGTTTTCAGTCAGGATCTTAGTATACATCCCTGGATGTCCTGAAACTCACTACGTAGACCAGGATAGCTTTGAATCCACTGTCTCTGTCTACCACCACAGCAGGCAGCCTGCTTTTTGTTTTGTTTAGTTTTTTCTTGGTAGAAGATATATTCATTATGTATTAATATTCATTTCATAATAGCTAAAATTTAAATCAACCTACATTTTTTCCTAATTTTATTTAAATTAGAAATAAGATTGTTTTACATGTCAATCCCAGTTCCCTCTTCTACCTCTGCCCCCTATTAACTCTCTATCCCATCCCCTTTCTGCTCCCCAGGGAGGGTGAGGCCTTCCATGGGGATCTTCAAAGTCTGTCATATCCTTTGGAGCAGTGCTTAGGCCCTCCCCCATGTGTCTAGGCTGTGGAATGGGCTCCCAAAGT